CTAGACTCCCATCTATACTAAAAACAGAAAAACCAGCCAGGCACTGTAGCAGGTTCTATAGACCCAGCTACTTGGGAGGCTGAGGCAAAGGATCACTTGAGCCCAGGAGTTTGAGGTTACTGTGAGCTGTGACACCACTGCACTCTACCCAAGGCAACATAGTGAGACTCTTATCTTTAAAAAAAGAACACATACATTATATATGAATATAATATTATCTGGTAAAATAGTAGACTTGTGTTCACTGCACATATGAAAAAGATTGTCCCGTGTTGGACTTTGGATTGAGTGAAGCCAGGAGGAAGTGCATTGGCAGCACCTGGAATAACACTGAACGTGGTGGTAGGTGCTTTCCCAGAGGAGTCCTCTTTAAAAATTCCAAGAATGGAGGCTGTAATGGGAATGCTTTGCCCTGAGGGGACTGTTGAGGGGAACGTGCTTAACAGCTCAGGCAGTGGTATCAGACCTGCCTTCAAATTCTGCCTCTGCTATTGCTTACCTTTGTAATATCAAACAGATTACTTAACCTCTCTGGGCATTGATTTATTCCTCTAAAATGGGGTAATAATATTACCTACATGTTGATGAATTAAAATCATTAGTATGTATAATGTGCCTATCCTGGTACCTTTCTGGAGAGTAGTCTAAAACAAAACGGCGGTTGTGGTTCAGTGTTGCTCTTACTGTTTTCTCCGCAGGATGATCTCACTGTACCTTTTCTGTGCATTTTTTACCTTTTCCCATTTTGAGTGTCTTTTTGAAAAGACGGGATGAACTGAATTAGGTTAGTGTCATGGGATGGAGGACTGAGTTTGCCACAGCAGACATCCTCTCACTAAGTTTCCAGAGTTCGTTTCATTTCGCGAGCCTCGGAAACTTGATTACATTGCTGGGCTCTGGCGCTAAGTATGAACTGTCTGGCCAGTCCTCTCCTCATCCTGGTATTTTGGTGATATTTTCTTTATCAAAGTTGTCTTTTTAAAGCTGCCAGTAAAAAAAGAGAGAGAGAGAGAGCTCCAAAGATTTGTTTTTAGTGTCATAAACAGCTACATCTTATTTTTTGTTGACATTTTAAAGAGTGATATTTATAGACTTATTTCATTCTTTATTTTTCACTTGACTTATAGGTGACTTAGAGCCTTAAATGTTTCCTTTTTCATATATTATATGTGTATATAATCTCCCTAGCGATATGTCAGAGATACTCATTTTTTTTTTTTTCATTTTTAAGAGTTTGTGGGCTGCAGGGGTGAGCGTGGTCCACATATTCCGGCCTGGCCGCCCCCCTAGCAGGCCCGCAAGTCATCTGTCTTCATAAAATGGCCGACAAGCTGTTCACATGCAAATATATATTGAGAGCTTGGGAGGCCTGGCACGCCTTTCTGGAGCTGCCTGCCGTCCAGATACTGTGTACTTCCCATTCCAAAAAGCACCCAGGACTGAGCCTGGAGTTTCTAGCCAAATCCACTTGAGCCCCACATCACTTGGTACCACCTCCAGGATTCATGGCATCCTTTAAAGGGGACCATGTGACTTCTGAGAAAGAAAGTATTAATATCTGGGAGGTAAAGTAATAAATTCTGACCATGCAAATTGCTATTAATTTCAAAGAAAAAGAAGGAGAGGCTGCCTTATTTGAGACAACCCTGAATGAAGAAATACTAGACTCCTCGGGTCCCTCTCTCTGCCTGTTGTCAATCCCAGATGAAGTTATTGAAGCAAAAATGATTTTATCCCTTCCTTAAAGACATATAATCTCTAAAGGGAATAAATGAAGACTCCAGGACTAGATATTTACACGCAGGAGATGACTTTCTGCTCCCCGGCGTGGGGTTGTTCAAGACAGTGTTCCCCGTTTTCCATTGTCCCAGGTTATGAAGGTGAATTCCTGAAAGTTTAGGTTTCTGTTTGTTATCCAGTATACAGACATACGTACAAGGAAGAATACTATTCTTTTTACCCTGGCTCTTGGAAAAGGTAATGGGAAATGACTGGTATTTCCCTAGTAAACCACGAGAGTGAGCGGACAAATGGTAACGTGCTATTTCATCCCAAACTGTAAACGAGGCCGTGTAACTTTACCAAAAGTGGATGCAGCTGTTTCTTCCCTGTCCAACTAGTCTGTTTTTCCTGTGGAATTTTTGCTTTCTTTTCTTGTACTCCCTTAAGACTCAGCTGTAAAAGAAAACAAATCTTTATCCAATTAGAGCATTAGATGGGAATTTTGAAGGAATTATCTGAAGCCCAGAGATAAAATGTCAGACTCTCTGAAACTCAAAATCAGCGCACATAGTGGGTAGCGACCCTGCTTCTGAGTCAGACTGACCTGCATCCGGATTAAATAATAGCTGGGTGACTGGGTAAGCTGATGCCCCATCTCGGTTTTCTTATCAGTAAATTAGAAATACTAAAAGAACCTATCTCGTGAGTGTTGAAATGAGAATGTGCATTTAAAATAGCATAATGCCTGGTTCACAGGAAGGACTCCGTGATAGGTAACCACCGCTGCTCTCCAGTTAAAGCTCGCCGCGTCTGTGGGAGAGAGTATACACACTCAGGAGGTCAAAAGCTGGGCACCATGGAGGGGAGGGGGTGGTGCTAGAGATAAGCCAAGGCTTTCAGAGACATCTTTTGTAGATACCTACCCTGCTCTGAAACGTTGGTGAAGATTTGCTTCTCGGTCCCCACAATCCCCTCAATGCCACGATCATTTTACTCTTGAATTCTGTCTTCACATTCTGTTCCTCTCCCCGGAGTTTGAGAACCCAGGAACTGCAAAAGTCGTTCAGAGTTACTAGAACCCTCAGAATGAGCACCCAAGAAGAAGGTAATTCCGGAAAGAAGGGAAGAAGCTTTTCCTAGATGTCTTTAATTTTAGCTGAGTTTTTCTTTGGCACAAACCACGTAGAATCTGGCTTATTAAAAACTACGAGCTGATTAAGGGTAAGACTGAGGACAGATTTCTTTTTTAAAGTACTTACACAGTACCTACGTCTGTGCCTTTACCTTAGCAGCTGTTTGGTACTTAATCTGCTTAATAAATAAATTTAATGGGTAAGTGAATATATTGTTATCCCCAAATATTTTTTGAGTGTCTGCTGGCTGTCGATTTACTAGGAAATTTTAAGAAGAAAGCAAAACCAGCCTGGAGATGCCACAAGTCTAGTTTGGGTGTGAGGAGGCTAACTGACCTCCGACACCTGGGCCTGCACACACGGCGTGACTGACAGGTCATAGCCAAAGCTCCATCTGTGCACATGGCCGTGGTAGACCGAGTGTTCCCTCTGACCCTCCAGGTGTGGTCACACGTATGAAATAACCATCGTTTCAGTTTTTGCTTGATGCTTGATTACCAGAGAATGGAATGTCAAGTTCCCAGCTCTGGTTAGGATCATTCACTTCATCCTTTAGCATATTGAGAAGGTTTTAAGCCTTATTTGTTGGACTTGGAGAACATCTAAGTCAGTACACCTTTTGGGACAGAACATTTAAAGAGCCTGCTTGATACTTACCGGGCCTGTGTTCTGTGGTGCATCAGGCCGTCATTGGGAGGTGAAAGCTCATGTGGTAGCTTCCTTTTTAATGCAAGGCACACTTCTCTTGGCCGCTTTGAGTCAAAGTCTGAAGCAACAGCTCAGGCCAATGCTGGCACTCTGAAAACAGCCCCCCACTGGTCCCGCTGTTATCAGTGAAAGTACCCTTGACTAAAAAAAAAAAAAAAAAAAAAAAAAGGTGTGGGGCTCCCTTACTGGAAAAAGAAGAGCTGTATTCACAGGGGTGTTCCCCCTTCTGTTTCCCCTCGCTCATCACCTGCACCTGCTAATACTAACCTTATCTGAGCGTTTTCTAAAATGTGATACTTATAACAAGATATCAAAATTAGATTAGTTTTTTAGGTTTAATTACGTTTGTTCCTCATTTTTCTAGCAGTTGCACATATGTTGGTGGCATCCACCCTCAGATGGGTCTTTGCAATCGGTGGAAGGCCATTAATCATGATGCTTGCCCCAGATTTTGAAAATTTCCAGCTCTACCTGCCAATTTGAAAATCGCTCCAGAGTATTTGGTTGCTCCCAGCTTTCTTATTCACCAGCTTCATGTATGTCGTTCCCATCCTGTATTGTCATCATAGGTATCATTTTTAAATGTTGCT